ATGATTGTAGGTGAAAAAAATTTAAAAATTGGTCTAGAAGTTTAAACAATTATTCAATGCAGACAAGCAATCAAATCTTTCCTCTTTATAATAATAATATGGACTAGATAGAGATTTCGACGTGCAGATATTAATAATATTTTTAGAAACTTACTTATAAGTAACTTCTTTAAGAAAAAGTTAAAATAATTTATAATAGCTACAAGGATCAAAATCAAATCAACAACCCCTTAGCAACGTTTTGTGTCTGCGGCAACTTTATTTTTTTTTAAATTCTCTATTTGAATACTTCATCAGCAAAAAATTATAATTAATATGTATATTTGTACATCTAGATATTGACCTAATTATTAACTGAAACAATCACAATTTATGCAACATAATCACCTTCACAAACCTTTCTAAAAGATCATAGATCTTGACACAGTCGGCTAATGAAGCCCATTAAGTGACATTGTCACCTAATCATTTAATCAAAGTTACACTTAAGTAAGTATAAAGCTCATAGTATCAACTATTGTCCCCTTGCATTAGCTGCAGCCTTGCCTTTTGATATACATTATGCCATTAGCAACGTAACATCGTCGCAACAGGGTTGTCAGTAAATAAAACGACTACAAACCGTTTTATCGAGTATTTTTAAAATAGAAATTATGACATTACACCTTTAAATTGAAGCAAAAGATAGATATCTAATACCTTGCTATCATTTGACTGACGGACTAAACAGATTATTACATTTATGTAATTAAAATATAGCGATACAAAACTTACAAACAACACAGTGATGAACTCCTGGGCCTCCATATTATCGAGGCGCGCAAACTCCGCTTTGAACATGCCACCAATTAGCCATTCTGTCCCGGATGTTATTATATATAGTCAGCATAGAAAAAAAAAACTATATTGTCTTGGGTCTGGGTGTTGTAATACCTTCGTTGTTTTAGATATCCCTAATAGAATTTGCTACTTTTTTAGGATCTGAAAAACGTATTTAATGTAATTCAATATCTATAATTGGAAACAACAGACAAGTCGACAACCCTGCCCCTACGCAATTACGATAGAAGTTAGGCATTTGAGATCTACATTTTGGGAAAGGTAAAAGAATTGGTACAATCACAAAGAAACGATGATTGTGTTTCTATATTATTTCCAGTTTACAAAAATATATTATATAAAAACATTATATAAAAAGATTATACAAAAACAGCTATCAAAGCCCGTACAAAAGCATTTTTTACATAATTATTAACATATTAAAATCTATAAAATCAAAAGCTATAAAAACTTCTTCGATAATTTTTAATTTAACACTCAATTTTTGAAGAAGAATTACCTTGCTTTCTACTTCTAGAACATTGCAAATCTTAATAAACAGATGAGACTGTCAACTTACGCAATTATTTTATGCTGTACACTAAACTTAGATTTTATAATGACAGTAATGTCACTTCACTTATGTAGGTGGTATTAAACTTTCAACTACGTGACCGGTGTAATGATAGCGAATGATTCATTCAACATTATCGAATTGATGTCGATCTATAAATGTTATATCCATTGAGACACGGATAGAAAAACGCAGACATACTGCCTTGATACAAATCGTGGTACTTCATTAGTCTTTTCTGAGTCAATTACTTGAAAGAAAATATTTGTTTAACTCTGCATGCACAATGCTCTTCTGACAAATATTTTTAATGAATAAAAACTTTTTTAAAAATTGAACCGACTTAATATTTAAAAAAAGTGATAAATAATACTTATCTCAAATGTGACTTATTCAAGAAAAAGCTATTAAAATCGGGCGAAGGTCTTCTGTAGGTTAATTATATGTCAGCTGAATAAGTCGCTTTTAATAGAAGTGTTATTTATCACTATTTAAAAATTTGAAGCCGGCTCTTTTTTAAGTTTTAATTTTATGCTTTTTGGTGATATTGATATTTTTCATATAATAGGTAACACTAATAATATTAAATAACTATATATAAAAAAATCAACATAGTGAAAGTCTTAAAAAAGGAGATATTGTTTATTTCCTAGACATAATTTTTCCCAATAATCTATACTCATACTAAAAAGTGGAAAGATTTGATTGCTTGCATTGGATGGGCTCCGAAATTATTGGACCTTTTTTTAATAAGTCTAATATACGGGAAGCTACTTAATAGGCGGTGGGACAAAGACTATAATTTGCGCAGGCGAAATCGCGGGAAAACACCTAGTTTGATAGAAATTCGATAAACATACCTACTTTCATAAAAAAATACAAACCCTTTGAACACAGATAAACCTCCATTCAAAATCCGTAATCTTTTGTTTTTTAGCTGAAATAGGCCATGTCATAACCTATTATCTATATATTTAGATGATATCTGGTGAAAAGCGTATTTTTTGTTATTTATTTTTAAAACAACAAAATACGTTTTTTTTTACTAGATACTGCAACACTCAACGGTTTTCCTTTTGTAAAACTATTGATTCGATTTCGCTAAGATTTAAATGGCCACCACCAATTTAAACCACGTACCTTCATCAAATTGCCGAATAAAAAAAAATTGAAAATTGGTCAGCGATTGGCGGAAATATAGATTGATGAACCTACATAAAAAACATACATCGCCGTCAAACATAAAACCTTCTCCTTTTTGATTGGTTAAAAATGCTTAAAATCAATCAGCCCCGGGCACCCCGACATGGAGCTCGGGGTAAAATGACGTAAAACGAAGACCAAGTTTAAACTATTATCCGACCGAAATAAATCAACACGTCTCAATTTGACGTTTTCTTCTTTGTCATTGTCAATTCGCTTTAGGCGGCCAAAGGTTTCTCATTTTTAATTACAATCAATATTTTTACATTTGGTTTAAGCACCCAATTATAAAAATATTAAATAGTTTTTAATCAAAGATTAATTCACACAAGCTAAATTTCGGTACCAAGACAGGCAGAAGCTTCTTACAATGTATTTTAAGTTCCGCATCTTACCATTAATTATTCTTTAGTAATAGTAAAAAGCAATCACGTAACTAGTTGAACTAGTTATGTACGAGAACAATGGCAGACAATAGCTTAGAGCAAGTGGCTTGAAAGCTGACATTGACATTTGACGACTGACTATGTGGGCGGTGCTCGGATCCGATGAGACATTTCCGGAAGTTAATCAGTTGAGAAACTTATGTTTAACAATGTTTTTTTTTAAATAAATACAATCAAAGGTAAAGTAGAGCTTGATGGCATTGGCTTTCGGCCTGAAGTTAAGCAAATTTCGTAACAGTTAGTCATATGATGGGTGAAAAATTTATTATCTCGAGCTACTCCAAGACTCTTGGACCCAAATGCATCTGCAGTAACACCCACCAATTTCGGTCTGGGCCGAAAGCAGTAGGGTCACTAATAAGATGATTATAATGAATAGTATAATTTCAAATTGTTTAAATGAGGTCGCGTTAACGTCTATGCTAGTTTTAATAAGATGAATGACAGAAGAAAAATAACGTAATGCCAATTTACAACTATTTTAAAATTGAAAAAAAATCTTATGTATCAATTTAAGGGAAGATAAAGACATCAGAAAAATACTACACAACTACATACATTGTTCAAATTCCGATATGAGTAACTAAAGCTCCCGAATTACGAAGTATCTGAGACGAAGGTACCATAACATCCAGAACCTAGACAACATAGAAAAAGACCGGCAATCGAACGCGGGATCTTAGATATGGTGACACATTTACACCGGTGTGCTAACCACTCGGCTGGGGAGGTTGTCAATAAACAAACTATAAAACGATAATTAATGAGACGTGCACAGAGATTTGTGGTCCCTTTATTTAAAAAAAACTTACAAATTTTCACCATAATTTCAGTACCTTCTAATGAGTCCAAGACGAAGTGTAACTTATCTAAAAGTTACCACATAATTATTTTGTTTTATCGGAATAGTAATAAATTTTGAACTTTTAATATTTAATACCTATTATTTTAGACATTATTCACGTAAACAGTCAGCGGCCGATATAACGTTTGGTATCAATCTGAACAATTTTTTAATTTTTATAAATTTAATTAACGTGCCTGTCTTTTTTTAATACTAAATTCAGTAAAACATTGTCGTAAAATGACCAAGGTTGTTTTAAAAGTTGTATACTCACTGCGTCATCGTATCTATTAGTGTTGCTTATTTGTAGGAAATGTGGTTGTTAAATTATTTGTATGTAAATTTTGAATGCTAGCCGATTATGAGTATCATAATAAGGAACGACTAATATTACATTTTTTTATTTAAATCTAACCCCATCATACACATTCCCATTGCAAATATTATAAAATTTTCTTTAAAAGATAACAAATATGTATTCATATTTAATTTATCACCAGCACATAACTGAAAGCGCAACTATAAGCTATAATTTTCCAAAAAAAAACGGAGAAAAGTCACTACGTAATTAGATTGACTAATGATTTTACAACTTAATCACTAGCGCGCAAGAAAAGTAATGAAAACAAAATGGCGAAAAATATTTAAACGATACACCGGCCAAATTAAGTAGTCCCTTTGCGCAAACCCTACTTTTTAGAAAACTTCTTAACTTAATCAGTTTGCGATAAGCCTCTCAAAACCGTAATCATGCATGAATTTTACACATACAAATGATTTCTACGTACAACACGAGTTTTGACTTGGCTTTGTTTGTATTGCGAATAAGCTGTAAAAAGTGCAGCTTTTCATCGAATCTGTGGCGGCGGCGTCAGCGTAGCGGTCGGTTGACAATATTCCGCTCACTAGAATGTAATAGTAGTTCTGTCAACTTTTGATAGATGGCACTTTTACTAATTTAACCAAACATGATCATAAGCATGTGAATACTCGTATCGAGTTAATGTGATAATGTACATTTTGTTGGGTTTTATGGGTAGGATATGCAGTACTTATTTTCATGTATTGCGTGCACGCCACTGAAGATAAATATAACTTATTTATGTGTTTACAGTTGGTGTGGACGGTGGCACGTAAAGGCGACGGCTACAGCTGTCCATACGGTCAGAAATGTGTATATGAACCTGCGCCACCTGGACGCGCACCCGCATGCGCACAACCAGGCCTCACGTACTGCCTCTACCCAGAACCGTATCCCGAGTAAGTGCCACATATCTTTTTCTTTTTACTTCCTTATGTTATGCGCATGTTTAGAAAATAGTATTATAAAGAAATATACTAATAACGGCTGTTAGGTTTCGATTAATGCGATGATTCAAACATATTGATTGAAAAAACTAACCTTATAAATTAACAATGAGGGGGCCTGATGATCTGTAATACGGGTTTGAACCTAAACAGGCACCAGTCTCCCACGAATAACTTGTCATAAATCTAAACTAATAATAAAGCTGAAGAGTTTGTTATTTGTTCGATAGAACTCTATAATATTAGGAACTGCTGGTTCGATTTTTTTTTGTGCTGAATAGTCGTTTATCGCGGAAGGCTGTAGACTATGTAACATACAGTGGAGCAGCAATGATAAATGTTACAAAAACGATGGAATATTATACTTTTTGAGAGCTTTCCTTGCGTGCTCTGTGTAAATTGTGAAAGTTACGCAAAAACTATATATTAGAAAATTGATCCCCTTTGAAAGTTCTAAAAAAAGTCCGCGGCAGCATCTTATATCTTATCCCGAAAAAAAACACATTAAGGGCCAGTTTTTTGATCCGTAGTCAAATGTCATTTCACCATTTGTTAACTTGACTATAGTTAAAACAATAAGAAGTTGTTAACTCGCTATTTCGTTTTTTGATGCCAAATTTAACCATAGTCAAATTTAACCACTGACCAATTTGTTGCCAGCACAATGAGTCGTTTTTTCGCTATACATTGACATGGGTAATTTTTTTCTGGGTGACAACACTAACGGTTTGAATGAACGGAGCGAACTATATACCATTTTTGACATTAGGATTTTGTTCTAAATATCAAATAGACGAAAGAAATCTATAGATTATCAAACAATGTGGATGTTTATGGTTGTTCTGTTGTGTGCACTATGTGTTATTTTTCAGGAATAATACATATTAGAAAGCAACAAAGATATGTTTTTTCCAATTATTTTAAACTTAACTTTTTATAAAAAGCATATATATGTTTTTTAATTATCCTATAGAGAAATACGTGAAAAGAATATAGTATCTAGTATCCAAGGTGGGATTGTAACGTTGGAAAATAAATCCAGGACTATGTATTTTATGTACTGTAGGCATATTTACCTTTTGTATTGTCTATTCGTGGAATTTTTAATAATTGAATAATTTGGCATCTGCCCGTGGAAACAAGAAAATTCTTTCTATATAGTACAAATATAGATACTAAGGATGATCAAGATAAAAATATAACTTATTTTCAATAACCCTATAACCAAAAAATGACAATGAATATTTTCCTATGAAATTGCATCATAAAACGAAATCCCAAAAATATCTAATGTCCAAATTCACTATGAAATCATGTAGGTTATAAAAACAACGTAAAAAACAATAACAAGGGACCAAGTAAATACAACGCAGTTGTACATCTGTTCTTTTAACAATTGGTCATTTTCTTAACCTAGCTTCCAGTGATGGTTAAATTTTTTGACAAATGGTTGTAATTCTGACAATTGGTTAGGCTAACTATTAATCAAAAAACATATTTTTCTGATATTTAACCATTTGTCAAAGATTTTAACAAATGGTTGAGTTAACCACGGATCAAAAAACTGGCCCTAAGGGATGAAAATGAGAGTGGAAGTTCGTATATGTTACCATAGCAACAATTATTTACAATTTGTTATATAATAATATGTTATTGTTATTATGTTTTATCTTTTCATATGTCATCTTATTCCATTTTTAAATTCCTTAAGCTGTTTAAGCAGCATTAGATAGTTTTGTGAATAATTCAAACTGCATAATTACATCTCATTAGCTAGATAGTTGCAATTTTAACAGATGGTTTATTTCAGTTGCGGTTATACTAACAAATACTACAAATAGAGTTAAAATATGTAAAAGGGACACCCATACGACAAACATATTTTTGTGTTTTTTTTTAATAATGATCCATCCTATCATCCGCAAGTTCGACTCGCACTTGACCATTTGTTTTAATAACACAAAAGATATGCAACTTATGTTTTAACTTCAACTTGAATTAGTGTAATTCGGACTCTTTAGTGACGTGATGTTGACTGTAGTTGTAGTGTAGCTGTAGATAAAGATACAATCTTGTTTATTTATAATATTTCAGACAAATCATCCGACAACTTATAGAAGCCGGACAATATGATATACGGACACTGCTCTCAGACGAGAGCCGTGACGAGTTCAACGCTAACCGGAAACCGGAGTATCCGTACGCTTACGGACCCAACTCTATACCACACGTCGACCAAATATCCCTGGTCAACGACCCTCTGTACCCTAAAGACTATAACACTAAGTACCACACCAGGTACAATCATGGTGAGCGGCACACTATATTTTTATTCGTTTTTCTTTGTTAATAAGTAACTAAGATAAATAATGGAAATCCTACCAAAATTTACATGAGAACATGTAAAATGTTGCCTAAATGACATTATATGGCTCGCACTGTCAAAAAGTTTCCAGCTCTTATATAAATCCAAGCTTCTAACTCTATATTCTGTAACTCTGCAATCCTTAACTTTATCTTAGTTAGAATACGTGGGTTAGCCAGTTTATCACGTCAAGAACTATATTTGCTACAATGGAAAAGTTATAAACAGTACAGTGGTAATCTTACGTCTACGCGACGGTCAAACCACACTTAACTAAGGTGTATAATTTGTAAAATGAGGGTATGGAGAGTGAGAACCTTAGCTCTTCATAAGAATTGAAAAGATTTAAGACGGTAAGGTGTCGTGTTGGCAATAATTTAAATGAAAATGTTATTGCTGGGACATAATTTACACTAACGTACATAATATTAAATTCGTGCATTTATTACATTTTCCCCTATATTTTCGTATTAATAGTCATGATTAATTCAGCTGCAACCCGCGATATCAATCGTTTAATGGCTTAGCACGGACGCCAAATTCAAATCTACATTTACAATTTCCAGACATCTTCACTCAGAAGACGCCACTGCAACCCCCGTCTCCGGTCGACCCTACCCCCTACAATATCAACACGTACCAATCATCGAACTTCTCCAAATTCGGTTTCCAAGGTTTCGAAACCGGCAGCAACTATTGGAACCCTGGACTGAACCAATACGACAACGAATATGACAAGAAACTTTACAGACAGAACAGTGGATCAAACGTTGGTACAAATGTTGGTTACAACCCGAATTATTATAATTCTGGTAACGAAGGATACCATTACGATGCACCTGCACCTGATTGGTACCGCCAAGCGTCCGCTGGAGTCACACAGTATAATGCCAATCAGTGGTGGAAGTAAGTCGATATGCATTTATTTTTTATTTATGATCTAATAAAAAATATCTTTAAGTTTTTATTACAAGTACCGAAAATAAATTCATTCAAAATAAATTAAAATTTTATTACAAAAAATAGAGTATGTAGAGTATTATAAAATAACATTCTGTAAAAAAGAGGATTTAAGCGTCCTCTATTGGTTTTATAGATTATAAAACCAATTGGGGACGCTAAAATACTACTAAGGCGTACTAGGCGTACTTCGCCTACGTGATATGGTACCATACTCTATTTTGGAGTACGGTTGACAACCCTTTCCCTAGGTGGCGTAGTACTTGTTGTGACACATATGTTGTTACAAATTTTCATGATAATATTTTAACTACTTACTATGAAATCTGATCATTGTATGTCGATATAATGTGTGTGATTTTGTCAAAGATTTATTTATTTCAATTTAATATCCAGGTACATAACGCCATCTCGTTCAGACGTGACACTGGAGCGGTCCGTGACTTTCCCGACTCGGACGTCAACTGTGCATCACTCCCGACGGCGTCGGAATGCTGAACTCGTCCGAGAGGCATCCAAGAGGACTCTCACTGGAGCCGAGGCCCTGAGGATCGCCTTAGGTTTAGCTAGGTAGTACAATTTCTTTTTTTAGCCTTAACCGTAAGATGAAGCGAAACGGTTGCATTTAACTGTTTTATATTTCTCACGTCATATATTATATATTTAATTTACTTTAGTTTTATGAATAAACAAGTATCAATTGAGTAGAAATAAACTATGAGTTCAAAATATGTACCTATCATAATCGAACCACATCAATGTGCCTAGCGGGCAAAGGATATGGTGTGCTATATTGACAGAACAACATACTATCTGATCATATTAAAGACTGATATATTATATTTTAATGAAACAGTGCACCAGGTAAAAATGAACCTAAAATAATGTTATAAATTCAGTGCAGAGACCTCAGCAGAACGCACGCGCCGCCAAGCGGCGAGCGGCGGAGAACTCTGTCAGATACGTACAGAATACATCACGCCGCGCGCCGCGCTCAACAACAAAGGCAACTGGCGGTACGTCGTTAACATGCCTGACAACATGACGCAGCTTGTAAAAGCTGAGATTTGCGCGTAAGTAAATAAATTTTCATTAATATTAAAATACACTACAAAATGTACGTAGCTATTAAAGATAACGCCATCTATTAATAAATTTCAACACTACAACAATCAACTAAAACATTGATGATATATTTTTTCTGTTTTTACATTACAGAATTATTTAAATCTAAAGTCTAAAATCGCTTTCCCAATTCCTTTTCTTTAATCATAGAAATATTAGTTATTTTAGCTTTCATTCGCATTGTTTGTTAGCAAATATATCGACGCTTTACGTCATCTACCGAGAAGTAGCGAAGCTTAATCTCATATAATAGAAAAAATACAATTTTCGTTCAACATCTTACTATAAATCCCTTTATAGATAGATTTATCGTAACAGTTAACACCCATTCATAATTTCACAAAAATACCCATATATAAATACAACATTTTATTTATTTTATGTTACATTTGTTTTCACGTAGGCGAGTCTTTTAAAAGAATTTGTGTTTTTTTCAGATCGTCTCAATGCAGTGGACTTTGTACGGTACCGCCAGGATATACTTCACGTTGTGAACAAAAATACATACAAAAACGTTTAGTTGCATTGGGTTCGAGCGGTGACAACCTTTACACAGATTTATTTTGGATACCGAGCTGTTGCCAATGTAGTATAATAGCTAATAATTAATATAATCGCTAATTTCTCAAACTACATCAAATTAAATCAAAAGCTTTCGGACAGTTTACTCTACCCAGCACTAGATGGAGTTAATAGTTCCGAGCTTTTGAAATGTGTAATTTTTCTATTTAAATCTTTGCTAACATTGAAGCACTCATTGCCTGAATAATCAATTAACAATATTATTAGTTAATTATAAAAAATATTTTCAAAATTGTAATAAACTAACTATTAAGTACATCGGTCCGCTTGCATTTTCACCGAACCTAACGATATCGTGCTTAGCGATCTGTAACTTAGTTACTTTGAAAATGATGCGTCATTTAATGTATTAATGGTATATTATTAAAACCTTTATATTGTGAAATAATTACCAAATAGCAGTGCAAGCTGGATTATAAGTACACAGTTCCTTTCCTAAATTCGGATAAAAAAAGTATTGTAATTTCTATAAAAGCTATCCTAAAGGCAGAGTATTATAAATTAAGCAGAACTACATTTAAATATTATAAAATATTAACAAAGTATTAATACTATAGATGTTTAAAATGTAAATATTAGAGTTAGTTATTAAGTGTGGCTATAATTGTTAGTAATTTAATATTTTTTTTAATATTAGTCAAAGCAATTTTGTTGATAAAGTGTCAATAAGAGGCTTAATGTGGAGAATGTACAGCTATTCATAAAACAATCATTGAATATCTATTTCAATGTTTGAATTTAAACGATATTTTCTTGTATAAATTTTTGAATAAATTATAATTTATCAAAATTTCTTGTTATTTTATTACTCCTTCCGTTTTTATAATATTTATTTGTGTCTACTAAGCTTTTTCATTATTTATTTAATGAGCTTTAGTTTAGAAGATTTTAAAATCTATATACAATAAAAATGAATCGGAAAAATGTATGCGTAAGCCAGGTTGTCATAACTGTATATACAGACTTCAAAAAATAATTGTACTTAATTTTGTTGAAATCTTTGTTCACGTATTACAAATTAGAAATTGGATAAGTAATTTTTTTTCGTTTTTGGCTTTCAACTTAGGGATCGATATAAAATTCTTCAAAATCAGTTCAGTAGTTTTGAAGACACAAAACCGTTAAAGTATAATGATTAAAAATATATTTTTTTTAATAAGAAATAGAACAGATTTCAAAAATACCCTCATAATAGTGGATAAAAAATAAATAAAATCATCTACGGAAGTAGAGCGGTTAATATATAATAATCTATATTAAACATTTTTCATTTTAAGATTCTTTTTAAAGTCTTATTATTTTTTTAAGACAACATATTTTGTAATAGAATTTTTTGCATTGGGCAAATTTAATAAAAAAAAAGACAAGTACCTACTTACATTCTGTGTGCTACATTTTATAAAATTACAAATACCAAATTCCGTAACAGTTTTTTATAATATCAACATTATCAAATATACGCACAGAACATTTACGAGTCACTGTGATCGAATATAGAGAAACGCGTTATTCTGCTTTATTCGAGGAATAGTCCTCGCCTCCCCGGGGAGCTTGTAAGGATATTTTGTGCATTGTCTTTGGAACTGGAGTTATGAATTGTGATTTATAAGCTATTATAAATCACGGTTTGTTACTGGAATATACAAACTTATTTATTATATTTGAGAATATCAATTGAAATACTTGAATGTAACTACGGTTGTAAATATTAGTTATGGGAAAAACTTTCCGCATTCTGAATCAAATAATAATAGTCGGTATTTTCACAAACGAGTGCCCTCCACATATTTTTAATTGAATTGCTTAGCAAAAACTTATTTTTTTCAAACTATATCTTAGTTGTTAAGCTGCATCATTTTCTTAAGATTGGCTGTGGTAGAACCCACAGAAATTTATTGTATTTTTTCCATTTTAAAGCTCATTAGCAGATTATTTTTTTATACAAAAACTGTTCAAAGTTAAGATTTCTAGTGTACGCGTCCTCTTAACCTATGCAAGATCCGATTTCATAGCATACCCATAGCGATGTTTATTAAACTTTAACATAGAACTTTTCTTTATTACGTTATTTAACTTGCTGCTGTTTTCCCGTGACTTCAGCAGCGTAAGTTATAGCTTATGTCACCTGCGTATGATGTAGCTTTCTATAGGTAAAGAATTGTCGTGATCGAGTCAGTATTTTCGAAGTTTATCTCCTACAAACAAATAAAACTAGAAACTTTACCTTTTTACAATATTAGTATATATACAGCGGTAATAGATAAATATGGAAATTTATTTAACATAAAAAAGGAACTGCAACACCCAGTCCATTAAAATCGTTATTAATAAGCGACAATACCAAAACAATTTTTTAAATTTAGAACATTCATTATAGTTTAAATAAAGTGTTCATTAAATCTTAAAAATCGTTTGTGTCACCTCAGCAAATTAAAATTTTAAATTCTAAATAATAAGAATATTTTTAATGCCTAAATAAAATTTACTACTTTTTTACACACAACCATCGTAACCAATTCATGTGTTACCCATATTTTATGAATGTACGATTCTGTGCATTTGAAGGTTTCCCATTTTTCCGGATCGAGTTAACGGGAGAGGGACCCTGATCCTGAGGGCCGTAGCGCACCCTTGTCTCGGCCTACCTTAACAAATTTTCTCTTATCCTGTAAACTTGATGCTTATTTACCCAATACGTATAAGGGTAGCAATTGCGTCAACATACGTCAGTTTAAAAAAAATCTCTTTGTTTTTTTTTGTTTGTATACGTCTAGCGGAATTATAATTACTGCCATTTAGTATACTGAAATATAAAATATAGCATTTCATAAAGTGATTATGCTTATGCAAATGTTTTGAATTTTTAAACAATTGATGAATTTTTTTGTATAATGGTACAAAATATGTTAATAAAAATAAAACGATTACAAAGTAATACGCGACACTACAAAAAGAACAAATTGTATCGCCGCGACGGAGCGAGCGCCGAAACTCGCGCTATTAAAAATAAAAAAATATAAGCAAAAAGTCGACTCTACGCGTAAAAGTAAAAGAGGAAGCGGGGAAAAAATCAATGCTTGCGTTTTATGTTCTATGCGTGTGACAGATCGGTTGTCATGACTACCATGACCGGGGGACGCGGCGGCAACCGCAAAAGGTCGCAAGTGCTACTAGGAAATACAAAAATGGCGTCTTCGTTTCCCGCGTAGAGACACTACGCGGCTGCTGCGCTCCCACTTGCGACGTTGTTATTCCCGCCAAAGTTCTGTGTGCGTCGCGCGAAAGAGAGAGAAGATGGGGTAAGGGAGCAAGTAATCGATATTACGCACTTTTGTAGCAACGAAATTGGCGCGCCGCGATGCAAGAAAGCTTCGCGCGTGCAATATCTGCTTGTGAATTTTTAGCAAATGCTTTAAACGCATAATATTTTTTTTTTTATGCTAGTAATTCTTAAATATTCAGGTTTTGTTAATATTTATTAGAAATCGAATATGGCTTGTTTAAAGTGCATATGTTAAAACATTTAAAATGAACATAATAATTGAAATTAAAAAAAAAAGTTTAATTAATGATACACCAACTGCCAGTCGGTTCTGATGAGGTTATTATAAATAATGACTTTGGAACACAAAATGAGTTTATCCACCAGTGGGTGGTGAAATGTTGATGAGTCACCGTAGTAGGGGGTTACTGGAAAGCTCGCTCGTGAAAATACGAGGTTTTCCCCGTACAAGAACATTTCTATTTCGGAGAACTGTTTATCATTCCATTCCTCCCTCGTCATTTTTCCGAAAATATTATCTTATTCTTAAGTTTCTGTATTTATAGAGTACCTACCCGGTTCCTTTTCGATTCATCAAAATAAAAGCAATTTTCTTGCTACTATAATTTAGAATGCGTTAGATGTTATTGTTAAGAATGCTTTAGATGAGCCGAAAAGTGAACATGTAAAGATATTTGCCTTATTAAAAGCAAAGTAGTCGTTCTGATTGTGAAGAATTCTGGGTTCGAATCCTTTTTGGGCACCTAGCGTTGTGGAATTTTCAAAGAATTCTATAATAAAAAAATAATGTAAATCAATATTTTTTATAATCTCTATAGTTTTTTGCTCCTTGGTATTGATTAGGTTTTAAAGATACTTTTTTTCTCTACTACTGAATCGTGAGAACATAATTATAGGCAAAACTAAATCTTTTACTATCATCTAAATAGTATTGTTAATATGCAAATAAGTAGCAGGTAATAAATTATTACGCTACCATTTCTAACGTGAGCTTCTGCTGGATTTTTTTACCGCTATAGAATTTTGACATTATTTTTATTACATTTGGTACGAACTTTTAAGAGTTTTGTTTACATTAGTGCTCTAAAATGAGAAAACACAAGTGTTTATAGTTTTCTATGAAAATCTTCTTCTTATAATAAGAATATCATTGAATAATTGATATATGAGTCACTTTATAACTGAAAACCATGACGAAGAAATGATTAATAGCATATCTTATAGCGATAACCATTCATTCATAGATTCGAAGTTTACGTTGTACAGAAATAAGTACAATAATTTTAGTATTCTATTATTATCATTGCTGTAGATTGAAATAATATCCTTGTTCATAAATAGCTTCTCGCTGTAAACAGGATTGACAGTGAGTTGTTTACAATGTTTGTAATATAGTGTAATAGAGATCAATTCATATTTTTAACCAGAATTAGTACTTAATAGGTGTTAATGTTTACACCCACTTAGAATGTTGACTTCCCCTCACTTTCCTCAGCAAGGTGTTTCATAAACTAAGGGATCAATTAAAAGAGAGACTGTCAAGTGGTTCATCCAGACCATGGGGTACCTCAGATCAGATTTAGATTGAGGGGAGTACCGTAAGTGTGCCATATAGGTGGCTGGGGTTCAAACCCTCTAGCACCTTGTGGTCTGCAACAATCGGAAACGTCAACCTGCTACATAAACGGGAACTAGTCGCACCCTCTTGCAAAAATTGCAGAATTATTTCGATTAGGCGGTGTCACCCCTTAAAAAAATCATAAATAATATCGCGCAATTTTAGTAAACTTCATCTGTTATTAACGTATGAATGTTTATCGCCAATTTTTATATCGAAACATTTAATATAATGAATACGTTATAAAAGTTTTGATTTTTAACGATGACGGTAGCAAAAGTAAAACGGATCGATAGCAACGCCGACGCGAAAGCTCCGAATAAACAGATCGAAGCTTTTAAACGAACGGCCGAATCGAATCCCGCCAAATGCAGTGACAGCTGTGCGTAGCTCGTAGCGCGTAGCCGTAGAGGCGGCGCCACCGGTATTATTATTATTTGTAAACAAGCATGTGCGGGCGCGGGGCGCGTCACGTGACCCGCCGCCATTGGCCCGCCGCGCGGCAGCTGCGCCCGGCGACGCGCGCGCCAGTACGCCGCCGACCGCCGCCGCGCACATACGCGCGCGCCATTTTCACGCGTGACGCGACACGCGCACGAACCACGCGATCGCGAACTTACAACAGCTTTTTTGTTTATTTTCGCTTGCGTCCTTTGGACCGTTTTGTGTTTCCGAGGCAGCGAGACGAAGAAAAAAAGGAGGTGCGGATGGATCAAGCGAACAGAGAAGGTACTGCGAAACTAAAGTTTTGTGCGCGCTTACGATCTGTGCAAGTGTATATTATAAGTGGAGCTTTCGTTATTGTGGATTTGTTTACTTATATTTGTATGTAGAGGAAGCCACCAGCGCGTGACAAGGGCCCCAATAAGCCGGTCGCGTGCTTCCGCCGGAGCTTTGACTGTGTGCAGCTTTTGCGAATGAATTCGTGTTTATATGGAAGATAGTTTCTGATGATAAACACCATTGCCGACAAAAGATTTTTAATCCTAGAACTTCCATAAAATCAATCAAAGAAAGAAGTTTTACTATGTCAAAGAGAAATGGCGTGTTCCTGTGACGCATCAAACCAGCATAAATGCTGGTGTCACTAAATTAACCCTTAATTGTTACAGACAATTCCCAGTATTGAGAAATATAGTAGATCGCATCACATTCTTTCTTTTTGTTGTCTGTATCCTGTCCTCGATTTGTTAGAAACAGGCTTTTTCGAATATTTAGTGCCCATGCTATGTTCATTTATTCTATTCGCCCAAATGCAATGATTTGGCTCTAAGATCTCCATAACACATTTCAATGAAAAGATATATATCTTCAATGTTTATTCTTGGATGGTTATGGAATGATACTATAAGATCTTTCATGTTCTAAACTTGGATTTGTTTAATACATTCAAGAGATCCGATCCAGTGTTTGGAATTCAAACACGTTATACTCTTCATCAGTAAGCGGTACATTAAAAAGAATTCGGTATAAAATTAGCACCTCTTACATTGCGAGTGACATAGAGATTTAAAGAAACCATAACTCAAAGGAAGATCTATAAATAACTTAATAAATTACGCTGGTTAGCGAGTCGGGAGACAGCAAAAATGAGGTGAGCCATCAAAACAACGAAGATAAAAAAGAAATAGCTTCGCCATTTTTGTTTTTCAGTTGAGACGTCGACTTTGCGCTTTGGTGCTTATTTTATTTATTGTTCTAACAAGCATCCAACCTTACTGTTGAAGTATTGAATTAGATTTTTATAAAAAAATATGAATAAATGTACTATGATAGAAATTTAATAAATCTGGAATTCGTTATTATTTCCAAACACAATGTTTATTAAGGATAAGAGGAGTTCGGGTAACAGAAATAAAATAAAAGTAGAGTCTGCTTAGAATATTATTACTAGTTCAATAAAAAATCTGTAAATCAACATTCGGAAGTCTACCAAGTTTCCGCGAAATAGGTTCTTATGATTGGCTATTAGATTTCCAATAGGAATAAAATATGGGTCGAGAATCAAATAACTATGTACTCTGTCTGGAACTATATACTTAAGACTATAGATTTTTATTCAATTAATTCAGCAATTTACACAACGGATATTAATAACAATTGATAATACAAGGGACAGCCAATTACTATTTTAGAAACAAATCTTAGACAAATGGCGAGTTTTAAGACCCTCAGTCTCAAGATCTTGATAGAAAAACAATAACTGGAAACCCTCAAGCTAATATAATATATTTATCGTCGTTTTGGAGACTATAAAGTATCCCAAGTTCGTTGAAGACAACCCGACGGTCCCACGGATTAATCGAATAAATAATACTCCTTCCTCCCGTGAATGTGATAATGGGAGTCAAGTTCAGTGAGGCCAATGAAAACAAATAAACAAATTGGCCAATTTCGCTCCAGCTAACTGTTGGTACATATGTGGAGCATCGCCAGGGATTGTGCAATGCTACATGCTTCCTTTTTAGTCAGACCGACGAGTTATGTTTCCTCCGGTAGACTAGTTTCGGAACTTTCTGGTTCATGCTTGTCCTTTATATATATATCATAATTACATGATGTCCATTATTCAGACCTTTTTCGGCATTATTTATATTGTGAAATTGTGTAGAAGAAAATCGTATCCGAACATTTTTTTTAAATATTTGATATTTTGAATTAATTGCAGCAGCGTTATTTCATCCTACCTTTTATTACTTCTACATTTTCCGCTTCTTTTATCTTCTTTATATGCGATATTATCTTTTGACTTGAATTGACAATAAGAAAAGTAAATATTTTGACCAAAGTCACAATTGACATGTACTTCTTTCACTATAGGTTGCTTGGTTTCTGTGTAGCAATAAGACCAATTTTTACTTACTCTTGTTTTTCGTTATTTATTGTGATCTGTTTATTATTATTAATACAAACCAGCTATAAGCGAATGAAGTTATTTGATTTTAGTCACTTGAAAAATATGAATCTTATATTACATACAGATTACACGAAATAAACTAAAACATTTTATAATATGAAAATCTTCGTTTTTTTCGTCTTTTCGTCAACAAATATTGTCTCCTATGTAAACGTACAGATCAAACGACCGTCTGTAGTCTTCAATATCTCGATTATTGCCACAAGTAATATCTTAAGTTGATTCATACTTTCTAAAGGATAATCCGTTTCTTATTGCTCAAGAGTAGACTCCTCAAGGTTCTATATACACCGACTGCGTACACTTATTACAATCCCCGTTTGGTCTAAGTTTAAACGTCAATGTACTATAAAGACGAAGTTTCAGTAGTATATGTAATTGAGGGAATATTTTATTAAGTTAGATATAGAGTCTAGCCGGTGAACGATCCCCGTTCGATGCACACGTTCAGTTATTAGTCGGAAAAATTCGCTTCTAGATTTACCTATTGAAAATTTAGCCAATGTGTTCGGTCTGCGAAATGAAGATTAAGCAACTTTCGTAAGAGCCAGTCTTTGGATGGGTGACCAGAAATTTACAATCTCGAAGCACTTTAAGACATTCCTTCTGCATCTGCAGTCGTTACTGCAGTCGAATCCAACTGGGTCCATGATATGATACATGGTATATTTGATTCTATCCCATGGAGAAGATTTAGGTCACAACATAGCTGATGATGGTAAACAACTCGTCCTGTAGTGATTCCTTTCAAGAAGAGTACCTTGACCTTTCCTTGAAAGCGAACTAATCGTATAACTTGTTAGAAAAGATCAGTCTACTTTGTTTATATGAAAAAGCAATTCCACTATATCCAATTAAATATTGCGACTCCATTCAAATATATTATCCGAATATTTATGACGCAATCAGGCACAGGAGAAGAAGATATTCTGCAAATAAATTATTAAAAAAAGAATATTCCAAAACAATTTAACGAATAGTCTTAATTACTTTTATCTAATAATCTTCTTTCACTCGTCTCGGCCTTTTGCTTTGCTTTTGCCTTGTGAAGACTAGTGTCTTACGAAGACCGGATTTGATCCGACCATCTTTAAGTGCTGCGGCCTTTTGATTGTTTGTCTTTAACCTTACTTTACCAAAGAGCTACTTGCTGCCCCAATGCGGATTTATTGGTGTTAACAACTGAAGTATCTGCTTCATCGGTGGCCAAATATATTCCATGACAAAACTTAAGATCCTGCTCCAACCACTGTGCCATTCAAATTTCAAATTTAAAAAAATACAGTAATATTTATGATTTAAATGAAGATTGTATGCGACTATCTCTAAATATCCATGAAGTGAATTCTCTAAAGGAAACAATACTAAATCAAATAATCCTAGTCATACACATGTGACTTCCTTCAAACAATTCCATGTCATAGGTGTAAGTATAAAAACTGTTCAATTTCCGATGTCGCATCCGATAGCAAAGGCAGACGTGCGCACGAAAAAAACAGTCTTTACAAAACTGTATCGGCCAAGTTGTTATTACGCGCGACTCACAATGATATAAAGTTATATTACCTTTATGCGTATGAAGGTAACGATCAAAATTCTTTGTTACGCGTAAGGGGAAAGTGGTTCAGATAACTTTGTCGAGATATTGAGGCATCAGAAAAAGTGGTAGTGTGGGAAAGATTATTGTAAAAAACGCCACATCTGCGCCGCTATTCAGCCGGCGAGTGGTTCAATGGGATAGGATGGTAACTCTATACTGGGACTCGCGGGCTTATCATTCTAATGTGTCTCAATCTAAATACTGATTCGATTTTTTGTTTTCCTAATAATTCTATTGATATTAATACGTATGATAACATTTATAAAAATCCTACTATTTTTTCAAAAAACCAGAGGATCATTTCTGGGTAAATGTATTGCTATGTTCAATAAAGTTCCAAAAAATGTAATTGACCTACTCATAAATAAATTTCAAATTCATGAAAAGAATATACTTATGAGTAAAGGCCTTTATGAGCCTTTAAGAGTATAATAAGGTTGATGATTATTTTAAGGATCGCAATGCATGGAGTTGATAGCCTTCGCTTTGTTCTATAAAGACTAATTATATGTTCAACCTATGTCCTACAGACTTGGAAAGTTGTATTTATTATTGTAATAATACATATTATTTTGGCAATATTCAACTTTTTCTTAAAAAGTATTTATTTTGTTTAATATTCTATAAAAACACAATTATAAAGTTTGCGTTGAATTAAACTTTGTTAATTCGATAGTGTCACCTAAAAAGGTCCAATTGAAAACGCCAGTGCTATAAAACCTACTTTTTAATTGGAATTCTACTTTCAATCAACTGGAAAATGGAATTCAACAAAATTTCTTTCTTTCTTTCAATTGACAAATATTATTATAGAGCTGAAACATAAACGTATTTTAATTGGGTTCCTTACACTCGAACACTCAAAAATAGTAGGTCTTCCTAGGCCAACCTTCTGTTCAATAAACTTTGTATGTTGCATGAAATATATGTCATAAAATTCTAAGCTAAAAAATCGATCGCAAAGTTTCCGATGATAAGAATGCTCTTACGTATGACATAGTTTTTATATAGAAATAGTTATTATTTCATGTACATATCTATATTTTTTGAAATAAAATCAACAACTTGATTCATGCTTTTGATTTGCGAAATCGTAACTGAACATTAAATATCAGACATGGCTTTTCAACTTTTAATATTTTTAATTTATCAAGAAATAAAAACGCTATGGTAGTGGTGACTAAGCTGGCCCGCTAATTTTGAGCTTTCATA